TAATTCCACTATTTAACTTTGTTTGTTTATCTGGATAAGTCAGGGGTTCGGTAGATGGCAGTACCTGGGTGGGGTGTATCGTTCTTCTGGTGGAAATAAACTTTACCGACCCCAGCCTAAGGCATTAGTGTCTCCCAAGTGAGCTCACACTAGTGCTGTTCTAAGTCTTGTCCTACCCTTCTCCCAGTGTCGCTGACTCCTCCTGCCTCTTCTTGCATGCTCTTTGGGAGGCGTGTGCACCATTATCCATGGTACAATGTGTCATTCTCAGGCACAAAGCAATAATGGTAACAAAGGGGAGGGAAGCGCGCACACACACCTACGCACAGGCACGCGCATGCCTATGCATGTGTGCACATAGACACAGAAACACGCAAACGCACACACGCACATTCTGATCCCATCTCTGACATAGGCCACTGCTGACTTTTTTGTATTCCCACCCACAGGCTGTGGGGAGGAGCTGTCTGGGGGTCCCTGAGCCTGGGGTCTGTTCTCCCCCAGTGCAATTTAGGGAGGGGAGTGCTCTATGGCTTGTGAAACCCGTACAGTACCGGGAACTGAATTGTGGGCACATGCAGAGACAGGGGAGCAGGCAGGATGGCGGGTGATGTGCAGATGCGTGGCCGTTACAAATGCCCAAGATGGATCAGACGGGTTGTGTGGAGGGCTGATGGGGGCTTTAGGGCAGGATGTATGTGGGTGGGGGGGTTTGGAGGTAGGATTGTGGGAGGGTTGGGCGGGGGGGTGGTTACACTCTGTGTGTGTGATCAGGGGAGATGGTGTGCAAGGGACCCGTGTGAGTCGGGAGGAGGTGCAGGCAGGAGAAGGTGTATGGTGGGGTGTCTCTCTGGGGCATAGGTAGTGGGTGTGGCGGGATCTTTGTGTTGGTGGGGATGGAGAGGCTGGGCGTGATCTAGGTGTGTCAACAGGTAGGGAGGGTGCTGAGGGTGTCGCCAATGTGATGTGGGATGCGGAGGGGGTGGGTTTAGCAAGCTGGGCATGACGTGGCTGGGCCATGTGGGGAAGTGGGGGTGTGGGCACTGGGACGGTGTAGTGGAGTACAGGGGGGACCATGGGGCTAGGTGTTATTTGTGTTAGCATAGCCCGTAGGAACCCCCTGTCATGGCCCAGCCCCCGTTGTGCCAGGCGCTGTACAAACACGGAACAAAATAACAGCCCCCGCGCCAAGGAGCTTCCGATCTAAGTAGAAGACAAGACCCCAAGTGGATACAGACAGACAGGGGAGCACAAGGAATGGGGTTTGGTGGCATGGGGGGTGAGGGGGGGGGCGTCTGTGCGTGCAGCTAGGGTGCATGCTGTGTGAACCGTTACACAGGGGAGCCTAGGGGGATAGAGGCCCATCACTTCTGGGCAGCACTAGCTTACACACACCCCGGAGCTTTGCAAGGTGATTATCATTTCCTGCCGTCTAAAGTGCTCTGGTGCAGGGTGGGGAAGGCATCCAGCAAAGGCAGGTTCCCTGCAGCTCCCCCCCCCCCCCGCCAACACCCTCCCTCCTCTGGGATACCATGCCAGCCAGATGGCCACTGGTTAGTGGAAAGCAGGAGCGACACAGCCAGAGCTCCCTTCCGTAGACACACTCTCCGCTGGGGTTCAAATACACAAGCTGTAAATATCTAGGCTCTCAACAGGAGATGGCAGAGATGCTATCTGAGCAGCTGCCTGGCTGCTGTCCCGGGTCCGAGCCCAGAAAGGGCTCCTCACCAGGGGCCTCTGGGCACTGGAGACACATTCATCAGACCGAGACAGCACCAATTCCTGCTGTAAAATACAGTATGCGGAGGCGGTCAATGCATCACGCCCTCTGCCCACCCCACCCCCCTGCTCGCCGCACTGGCCCGGCTCCCCAACTACCTCCAGCCCCGCCCCCCAAGCCCCACAGCAGATTAAAGGAGCCCCAATCTCTGAGCTATCCCCCTCGCCAGAGATTCAGCCCCTCCTCACCATTCCCTCCCCGCAAAGTGACGCTGGTCTGAGGGGCCTGCACCAGGGACTGGTACGGAGCCCACTCTGCTCCCACTCAAATCAACAGGAGCCTGCGCACTCCACTCCCAGAAAATCCACTGTCTAGCGCTGAGAAATGGGAGCTGCAGCTCGTTGGATCGGGGGTTCCCAGTGGCTCGCTCCTAGCCCGGCGAGGGCCGGAGAGAATAGGCTGCATGTGGGCATGGCTGTAGGTAGGTGCTTGTGAGAGGGGTTGAAACCGGTCAGTTATAATTCCCCTTTCCCCTGAGCTTGGCACCACCGGACTCAGGGTGGTGAGGGCACTGGCCTTCCCAGGCAGAGGGATACAAGAAATAGTCCCAATGGCAGTATTTAGACATCTGTAAAATATGTGGCATATACAGGGCATGTCCTACCCCGCTCCCCCTGAGGGGCTCCCCATCCCAGCCCCCTGCCTGGCTCCCTGAAGGAGCTCTCTATCCCAGCTTCACTGCCCCTCCAGTCCACAGCCCTTCCAGGGGCTCCCATCCCCTGGAGTTCTCTCTAGCCCTGGAGGCTCCTGCCCCCCCATCGCTCTGAGTGAGGAATATCCCCCTTTTCCCTGCTCTGTCCAAATTCACAGGACCACTCCGAGTAGAGAGCGATGCTGCCCAAGCTCCCCTGTGCTTGCCACCAGCCAGCCCTTCCTTGTCCCCTCTGCTCCCGGGGCCCCTGTCTCGCTGTTCAAGCCACATGGCGCCTTTCTCCTGAGTCACCCGCTGCTTCCCAGAGGCTGCTCCCTTCCCGGAGTATAAATCACCGACTCAGAACACGGGCTCAGCTCACAAAGGGAACAGCGAGCAATTCTCAGGCCCGCCGTCCTTCCCGTGGGAGCCAGCCTGCCCCTCTGGTTGATGGGAATCATTTCCCAGACAAGAGGTGCTTAGCAGGGGAAACAAATGGGGATTGACTGCAGCAAACCCTTCTCCAATGGTAGATACACCAGAGCGCGCTTATGGTTACTGAATAATTTATGCTCAGTGCTCTAATGAGATTAGCAGCCTTTCCTTCCGCACCTTCCATCCTCACGCTGCTCTGGTGGGCCATGACACACTCCATTAGGCTCACTCCACCCTCTGACATCCTGCGTATTAGGACAGCAAAAGCCCAGAGAGCTGACGTTCAAGGTGACCTGCAATGGGGAAAGATTGGGTTTGAGCCCTTACTTGGCTTTGTCGTGTATAACCCCCCCTGAAGTGACGGGGTGGTACAATTCCTTTCGGTTTGGTTTTTGCATCCGAGCTACTGGGCTTGTCTCCCCAGTTTTTCTTTGGAGACTCTATGGAGACCTGGCAGGATTATGATACCACCAGCACCACAGAAGTGAAACCTGAGCAATGGGTGAGGGAGGGAGGTTTAGTCAGACTGAGCTACGTTCTAGTTTGTTGGTGTTCACACCTATGCAATTGAAATGCCCAACAAACAGTAGGTAGAAAGGCATTCTTGGTTAAAGTTTCAACACCTCCATCCCTTCAGTTAAGCACTGTTAAAACTTTTGCTCCTCGCCTCCACACCCTCCTGGGAGATCTTCTGCAAAAGCAGGGAAGGCAAGGCCTGCTGTTCTGATGCTAAAACTTTTGTTAGGGGGGTGAAATAAAACCTTCCAGGCTTTATTGATTAGTCATGATGATACTTTGAAAAGGGGAACAACCCCAGAATGTTTTCCTGTGGCAGGTGGGTGCGTTGGAGAGCTGAACAAACAGAGGTGCTGGGAGCTGCGCCGTGCAGAGCACCACCTAAGCCTAGACAATGCTCTGTCTCTCCTGCCCCTCAGCCCAGGCCTACAAGAAGAGGCAGGCGTGGTCCTGGGGAACTGACACATTAGGAAATGAAAAAGCCCTTGTCCAGAAGCTTCTCTTACTGGCAGCAGGGGGCGGATTGATTTCTCCTCCAGCCACCAGCTGGTACGGAAGGAAGTTTTTTGATGATTGCTGCCTCGGTGTCAGGACTCTTTTCTGTGGGGCTTCCCAGGTCACTCCACACCAGCTGAACACAGCCGTACAGAGCTGGAGAGCTCCCTTGGGCAGAGCCCCAGAAAGCCATAACGTCATTCTGCTGGGACACCCTGACTTTGCCATGTCAGCGTCACCCGATATTTATGCCACACGGTGATGCAAAATAACAGGCTGTTGTACTGTAGTTACAGTCCTGGCCCTTTAAAATCCCTCCTGACCTACAGCAAGGGGATAACTTTGTCACAGGATCTCAGGGCCCTGCCCTGCCCCTTGTGTGTCATTTACACCTGTGCAAAGTGAGTGTGAAATGCTCCCACTGGTGGGAGTGGAGTGTTCTGCTTCCAGCCACTGCTAACTTGGCTGGGCTGCAAACAGGTAACCTAGAAGTGAATGGCCCATAGCAATTAGAATCATAGAATATCAGGGTTGGAAGGGACCTCAGGAGGTCATCTAGTCCAACCCCCCTGCTCAAAGCAGGACCAATCCCCAGACAGATTTTTGCCCCAGATCCCTAAATGGCCCCCTCAAGGATTGAACTCACAAGCCTGGGTTTAGCAGGCCAATGCTCAAACCCCTGAGCTATCCCTCTGATCCCTACCCTCTTTGGGCTTAAAACTGCCTTTGGCCTCTGAGGTCAATGTAAAACTGCTGGAAGACCAGATTCAGTCCCCATCCCTCTCTCTGCCCCCACGAAGTCTCACCCCCAGCGCAGGAGCTTTCTCCTCTGCAGACTCTGACCAGCCTGCAAGTGCCTCTCTGCCTCTCCATTTCATCTCAGCTCCTCTCCCGGTGCACTCTCACCACCCTCCTCAGGTATTCACTGTATGGGTGGATGCTGAGGCCAGATTTTCCAAAGCGTTCAGTATCCCGCATGCACCCATCATGGGCTCTTCTGCAGATTGGGCCACTTGTTTGGGTGACTCTGTGGGAGCTGATCTCTCAAAATCCCCTTTTGCTGTAGTATGGGGCTAAGAAGTGACCCACGCTGCGATTCCACCTATATCTAACGCTGCGTGGTGTTTTCTGTCTCCTCCACAGGTACAAGAGCGTAGTGACCCCCAGACGAGCAGCTGCGGCCATCGCTTGCTGCTGGATCATTTCCCTGCTCGTGGGACTGACCCCCATGTTTGGCTGGAACAACCTGAACAAGATGAGGAGGACTCAGGAGGCGAACGCCAGCCACACGGCGTTCGTCATCGGGTGCAAGTTCGAGAATGTCATCAGCATGGAGTACATGGTCTATTTCAACTTCTTTGTCTGGGTGCTGCCTCCCTTGCTGCTGATGCTCATCATCTACCTGGAGGTCTTCAACCTGATCCGCAAGCAGCTCGACAAGAAGGTCTCCTCCAACTCATCGGATCCTCAGAAATATTATGGGAAGGAGCTGAAGATCGCCAAGTCCTTGGCATTGGTCCTCTTCCTGTTTGCACTGAGCTGGCTCCCGCTGCACACGCTTAACTGCATCACCTTGTTTTGCCCGTCCTGCCAGACTCCCAGCATCCTGACGTACATTGCTATTTTCCTGACTCACGGCAACTCGGCCATGAACCCCATCGTCTATGCCTTCCGGATCCAAAAATTCAGGACCACGTTCCTGCAAATCTGGCACCAGTACATCTGCTGTGAAACCGACAAGAACACTAACAACTTGGACAACACCGAGCTAGGCAACTGGCAGCTAGAGAGGGTCATCCCAGATGTGCCGTACCTTGATTTACAAAAGTCCCTTTAATGTCCAAAGAGCAAACTTGTCTTCACCCCCTCCACACGCACACAATTGTAAATGACTAGTATGGGGAGGGGGCAGCAGTGACCCAGGAGACCTGAGATGGTCAGACCAAGCAGATGTTTACCTGAGCTAGCATAGGGCATTATTTATTCACAGCCATTGTACTGTTCTGATATTGTAGCCTGCACTGTTCTTTTTTTTTTAGGGCGAAGTGTATCTAGGTATTCAAGGGGAATTGTACAGACAAGGATGTGATTTATCTTTAACTCAAATAAAAAAGGAAGACAGCAGCTCTGCAGCATTATGGACGGATTCTCACTCCCAGGGTCTCACTGCGGTGCTCATTCTTAGAACTGGGACAGCCAGAGACTGCTCAAAACTAAAAGGATTATGAGACGAGAGAGGGGCACAGAGTGGGACAAGGGGGAAGTGGCTTCAAGTTGTAAATATCTCCATGTCCCTCTCTCCTACATCTCCCATAAGGATTCCTGTGATGCAGCCCCTCCCATCATCAAGGGGGAGAGAGTGGTGCATCATGGGAGATGTAGTCCCACCAAGGAGTCCAGTCTGTAATAGAGAATGGGAGCATAAGGCATCCAAACTATTACTCCCATGAGGCACCGTGGCATCATATTGAACAGAAACATTTCAAAATTTGACCAAATTATTTTGCTGAAAAGTTAATTTTCTGAGGGGAAAAAACCCTTATTTTCCAACCAGATTTAGGTAGACAACACGGGGGCTAAGTTGCCCAAGTCTAGCAGGTCAGGCATCCGGTATGAAGCCAGAGAGTCGTATTTTTGGAAAGGTTTGTCCCTGTCCAGTACCGGATGTGGCTCTGCCCCCGGCAGAATAACCTCATATGCACAGTGCATGCAAGGTCACAATGGTTCATGTCAGGTCATGGCGGCAGGGTATGCCTGGTATTCTGGGGATGTGTCAGAGGCCACCCTGTCCTGCCTGCACTAGTGGAGTTGGGACACCTTGGGACAGATGTGGAGCCTAGCCCAGACCTTAACCGTGCTTCATAACCAGGCTAAGACAGGGCCTGACGAGACACAGGACTACTTTTAGCTGCAGCTTCTCTCGCTTGTGCCTTGGTCTGCGTGCTGAGCTGGAGGCCTTCCCGAGGTAAGCGAGGTTGGCTTCCTCAGGTTCGTAAGCCTGACTTGGTTGCTCTGGAAGCTCTGGAGCCAGATGGCGCCTGTATGTAGATGCCGCAATGGTGTCAATACACAGACAGCCTTAGCCAGTGCTGGCAGGTGAAGGACATAGCAGGCCATGATCTGTAGTCTGGCAGATATTCAGGCTGCCCTTTAGTGGCGCTGGCCAAAGCAGAAGCCATCTGCCCCCAGACTCCATTGTGGTAGGAGCTTGTATCATGGGGGCTGCAGCCTCTTCACGTGCTTTGAATGGTGAGTCACTGATCTGAGCTCTGAGCTCCCCATGAAAGTCTTACACCCGAGGGAGAGCATGCGCCCTGGAGCTGCAACATCCCCAGCCCCAGGCAGGCTTTTCGCCAACATGTAGCTACCCACCACAGCGTGGGCACAGCCTGCTTTTCACTGTGACGGGCAGCTACATGTACGCTGCAGCCAGTGGTGTGTAATGTAGACGTGGCCATTGTTGCTTGCGCCCAGCTTACTAGATGGTCCAGATTGTGCCGTATCAGTGACCTGTCCTTTATCACTTTATCTTGTGCAAACTTTATCACTCATTCTTTGAAGTTTTCTTCCAGATGTTAAATGGCGTAGGGTCAAGAACCGATTCCTGTGGGACCCCCACTGGAAATAGACCCGCTCAGTGATGATTCCCTGCTCACAATTACATTTTGAGAGCTAGCTGTGAGTCAGTTTTTAATCCATTTAATATGTGCTATGTTGATTTTGTATTATTCTAGTTCCTTAATTGAAATTGCATTCAGTACCAAGTCAAATGCCTTACAGAAGTCTAACTATATTACATTAACACTATTACCTTTATCAGCAAACTTGTAATCTTATCCAAAAAAAAGATATGCAATTACTTTGACAGGCTCTGTTTTCCATAAGCCCGTGGTGATTGGTACTAATTATATTCCCCTCCTTTAGTTCTTTATTAATTGACTCCTGTATCAGCCGCCCCATTATCTTGCCCGGGATCGATGTCAGACTGACAGGCCTATAATTACCCAGGTTGTCCCATTTATACTTTTTCAATATTGGCACAGCACTAGCTTTCTTCCACTCCTCCGGAACTTCCCCAGAGTTCCAAGACAAGCTGAAAAAAATCAACATTAACAGTACAGCAAAGTCTTCAAACGAGTCTTAAAATTCTTGGCTGCATGTTATCCAGACCTGCTGATTTTAAAATGTCTAACTTTAGTAACTGCTGTTTAACATCCTCCTGAGTTACTGTTGGGAGGGAAAGTATTTCATTATCATTATATGATATGACTACTTCAATCTGTCTTTTTCCCCCAAATACAAAACAGAAATACTTCTGCCTTTTCTGCATTATTATTAATAATTCTACCATTTTAATTTAGTAATGGACCAGTGCCATGGTTAGGATTCCTTTTGTTCTTTATATATTTCAAAAACTCCTTATTGTCCTTAACTCCATTGGCCATAGATTTCTCCTTGCATCTTTTTGCTTCCCTTATCAATTTTATACAGTTCCTTCTTTCTAATTTATATTCATTGCTATCAATTTCCCCTTTCTTCCATTTGTTTGTATACATAATATATAATATTTTATAGCTGCTTTCACTTCCCCTCTAAGGAAGTTTGGTTTTTCAATCAATGTAGCCTTCTTTCTCCATTGTGAGATTATGGCTTTTGGGGCATTTAGTAAAGACCAGCTCCCAATTATCATTCACATTTTTCTGTTTAAATTCTTTCTCCCAGCCGTTTTGGCTCATAGTTGTTTTCATCTTGGCTGACACACCAGGGACCTCCAGAGCTAAAAGCATGCTCTGCTCCACCTTGAGTTAAAGGGTCAAGCTTGTCTAACAAACTCACATCCTCTGTGGATCCAGCACAGAATGGTACCTCTAAAACACACGAACCAATGGGTTACATAAGATTTCCCTAGGCTTGTATTTGCTCTCCTATCCCATTTGAGCTGTAAGAGAACCCTCCAAGCAGTTATGGGCTTTGCCTGGCCTAATGGTAGCTGCATTCTCCACTGGCATAGATGCCAGGAGTTATCATTTCCACAAGCACAGTATTTGACAGAAACTTCCAATATCGTGCTATCTCCCGGTGCTCTCACTTGCTTTAAAATCTCCAGTGACCAACAACCTGGAGAACGTTCAACGTCCATGCAGCCTCTATAACCAAGTAAACAAATACACAGACCTAAAAAAGTCTTTGTTAATTAACCTTAACTCTGCCCCCATAATCCTGCACACTGTCTGCCTAATTGGTGTGGGAGGGTTCGCTGGCATCAACCACTGCAGCTTTAGAAATATTTGAAATGGCTGACTTTCAATGATAACGTTACACAAACTACAAACATGCTCTCCTTCAGGATAAGTGGGTAAATTGAGAATTAGGGTTAGACTTGAGGTTGGTTTTAGAATCTCTTCATTTTCACGTCTCTTTGTTTGTAAAACACCATGCTAATAATGTTGTTTCAACTCAAGCACTCTTTATTCACTTCTATAACTCTGTCTTCCAAGGCTTTAATTTAGCAAAAATGTGGCACGAATGAGTGCACATGACCTGCACTGGGTGACGTGTTCCCATCAGGCAGCCTCTAGGATGTTTGTAGTTTATTGCTGATGTCGTTGTAGATCATGGGGTCTCGTTCCCACTTTGAATTATATTCAGCCAAGCGGCCAGGTTCCTGTAATCAACGTGTTTAGCTAGGACTTGCAAAGGTGCCCAGAGGCCCTGGGGCTGGGAGGCTCATAAATGAAAGGCCACTCTGATGATTGTTCTCAGCAGAGTTCTGCAAAATTTTTCCACTCTGTGACCTCTGGAGAGAACTCTGTATTTGAGGAGGCAGGTCAGTGCCCTCACCCATGGCTTCACATTGCAGCGAACTCACTTAGTACCGGTTACCCTTCAGAGTCATAGATTCCAAGGCCATAAGGCACCACTCTGATCGTCAAGTCTGACCTCCTACGTAACATAGGCCTGAGAACTTCCCCATAATCATTCCTAGAGCAGATCTTTTAGAAAAACATTCAGTCTTGATTTAAAAATAGTCAGTGATGGAGAATCCACCTCAACCCTTGGTAAATTGTTCCAATGGTTAATTACCCTCCCTGTTAACAATTTAAACCTTGTTTCTACTCTGAACTTGTCTGGCTTCAACTTCCACCCATTGGGTCATGTTAGACCTTTGTCTACTAGTCTGAAGAGCCCATTATTAAATATCTGTTCTCCATGTAGGTGCTTATAGATGGTGATAGAGTGACCAGATGTCCCGATTTTATGGGGACAGTCCCGATTTTGGGGTCTTTTTCTTATATAGGCTCCTATTACCCCCCACCCCCGTCCCAGTTTTTCACATTTGCTGTCTGGTCACCCTAGACGGTGATCAAGTCACCCGTTAACCGTCTCTTTTTTAAGCTGAATAGATTGAGCTCCTGGAGTCTATCACTCTGAGGCATGATTTCTAATCCTTTAATCATTCTCCTGGCTTGTCTCTGACCCCTCTCCAATTGATCAACATCCATCTCGAATTGTGGACACCAGAACCAGACATAGGATTCCAGCAGCGGTGGCACCTATTTGAGAGTCCCCCTTCATTACTATCAACTTCTCCTTTCTTCCATTTGTACATATAATTTTTTATAACTGTCTTCACTTCCCCTCTAAACCGGGTCATTTTTTTAAACTAGTATGACCTTCTTCCTTGATTGTGGGATTGTGGCTTTTGGGCATCTAGTAACGTGGTCTTAAACAATTTCCAATTATCCTTCATATTTTTCTTATTACATTTTCCCCCAGATGATTTGGTTCATAAATATTTTCAACTTTCTGCAACTGGCCCTTTAAAATCACTAAATATATATTACTGGTTTGGACGTTATTCTATTTGCACATAAATACGAGCATGTCATGATCACTTGTACCTAAGCCAGCACTGATTTTTAGTTCTGTGATCAATTCCTCTTTACTTGTCAAGAGAAGGTCTAATATAACCCCCTTCCTCCTCCACCCCCCTCCCCCCGGATTGAATGCTACACTGTGAGTTAGAAATTTGTCATCTATAATTTTTAGAAATTCTGAGGCTGTTTGAACACGGGCAGCATGTGACCTCCAGCAGATGTCACTCAAATTGAAGTCCCCCATGATCAGGCAGTCTTTTTTCCCTACACACTACAGATAGGTGCTTAAGGAGCCAGTTATCCTGCTCCCTAGTGTGATGTGATGGTCATGTGCCGACACCAACTAATATCCCATCTTGTGCTTTAGGACGTTGATCCATAAGCATTCAGGATAATCTTTTTCTGAGCTATCTGTGACTCAGAAACAGATAATGCCATTTTTGGCATACAGTGCCACTTTTGCCTGCTCAATCCTTCCTAAATAGGTTATAATAATTGATTTTAAGATACCAGTCATAGGTTTCAATAATAGCAACTAGATCAAAGTTATGCTCCTAAAATGTGGTATTCATCTTTAAAGCACAATGAGGAAGCTGGGTGATCCAGTGGATACAGCAGTGAAATGGGACTCGGGAGTCCTTGATTCTATCCCCGGCTCTGCTACTGGGTGACCTTGGACGCATCACCGCCCTTCTCTGTGCTTCAGTTTTCCCATCTGTAAAATGGAGATAATGATACTGACCTCTTTGGTAAAGTGCTTAGAGATGTAATGATGAAAGGTCCTGTAAAAAAACTAGGGATCATAATGTTCAAAATTCATGAATCAGCCCCTCCCTCCCAAAAACCATCAGACTGGTTCAAAAAAAATCATGGTATATTAAACACAGTAATGACCGGGGGGTTCTTCTTTTGCCTTCTGGTGTTGGAACCTTTCGGGATCACATTTTCCAGCTTTTCTGCCTCCTAGGTAAAAGGGGTTAGAAATGTTTTACAACTGAAATATGAGCCTCCCATGTAATCCCTGACTCCAGGAGCTGGGGCTTTAACGTCAGGAGACTTGTGCTAAAATAAGTGTGAGAACCAGCAACGCTACCATGACGGGGAAGGTTCCACACGGGACGCAGGATACACGGTCACCCAGCTCCTGAACACTTGGGGATGGTGAGGGGGCTTTGGTGATAGGTGTGATGATGACCACACACAGCACCATACACTCAATGCCATACACCTCTTTCTTGTGCGAGTGGCAATCCATGGACACAGCTGTGCCATGGGGAATACTGATCTGTATCAAAAGTAGGGTAAGGGCCTTGGTGTAATTACTGGGGTGATTTTAGAACTGTGGGGAGGGGTGGGCTGGTTTTACTGTTGAATTTTCTGCACTTGTATGTGCTGAACAGGAGCTGCCCCGCTAAGCACAGGAGGCCGCAGCCGGACAGTGTGTTTGAGATGGAGAGCAGCCCGTGGGAGGTGGAGAAGAGAGACCCGGCCCATGTGAGCTCTAAAGGGGCAGGACGTGAGTTGTTAATCTTGCTTTTTCCCGAAAGGAGCTGTGTTCCCGAAGGTGCAACACAGGCACCGGGGCCGAGGCTGGATGCATAGGGCATTGCTAGTGAGCAGTAGAGCCTTTCACCTGCAGGGCGCCAGTCTGAATCCAACACCCCTGTTCCCCCCCAGCGCTTGACTGCACCATCAGGAATTATATTTCTTTGTTCTCATCTAAGAGCTAGTTGGTGGCTCCTATACAAAGTGCTTTGCATAGATCGATGTGGGTGGCGCTCGGGCTGCAAGGTGGCCATCCCCTGGGGATTGCCGTCATGATGATGATGTGAGTTTGGTGGGTCCCAGTTCACATCCCAAACCCACCTCCAGGCTTTCCACTAGATTTAGGTGACGTCTGCACTGCAGCAAATGTAGATACACTCACGCCAGCTTTACTCTAGCTAGTTCGGGTGCTGAGAGTCCGTGACAGCACAGGCTAATCAATACGTACCCAGGATTCTAGGCAGGTGTCTACAGCCCTGGATGAAGCAGCTTCCCCGCTATCGGTACCCGAGCTTAGCTAGATTAAAGCTCGGGGATGTCTACACGTGCTGCAGTCACATCCCTTGATTGCAGTGTGGTATGACTCTGACTGAAGATGGGTCATTTCATGAGTGCTCCTGCAGTGGGGGCTGAAATCACCTGGCTCGCTCTGCCTGGCGAGAGCTGGCGACACCGTGTTTGGCGCGCACACATCGTGGGCGAGGGTGAAGGCAGACAAAACACAAACTAACCAGGAGTTCATTTAAAAACAAAACAGCTCATGATTTTTCAGCCAGTCCCAGGATATCTGGGGGCCTGATGCTTTGACCTTGCCAGGTTGGTGACGCTGAACCCGATGGCCATGGCATGTGGCCGACAAGTGCGTATAGCTACCAAGCCCCTCGCTGTCCTGCTCTGCCCACCCTGGGGACACGGGCTGTGGGGTGCATCACCCAGAACTGTGCGCCTGTGGGCTGGGGAGATTCTCCCGGGCCTGGCTCCCCTGTTCAGCATCAGAGGCCAAGTACAAATGGCCAAGGGAGAGGCGTGCTCTCCATGCCCTTTGGCACTGGGGCCCCCGAATGTGCTGCCCAGGTGGCTGATGCACCCAGCTCCACTGGCATCACTCGCTGGCAGTCATCCGAGCTGTTTAATGCACCTGCCTGCAGATATGGGGGGAGGGAAATTGGTGCAATGGCGCCCTCTGGTGGGTGAAGTAACGTGAGGGACCTGCCCTGTGACCGCTGCTCTGGAGTGCAGGGTGGGGCTGGTGAGGGTGGTGAATGCTCAGGCTAGGGCTGAAGGCTGCCTGTGCCAGTTCCCAGCTCCCAGGGTGCCTGTGGACATTGGGAATGGGGCAGTGGGAAGGGGGGGTCAGCAGAAGTGGGGTCCCCTATATCGGGGTGGGCTGCAAGGACAGTGGGATGGACCACAGCAGTGAAGAGGGGTGTCTTCAACACAGCCTAGCTGGGGTCCTGCTGCGAGTCCTTCCCAGGACAGCAGGGCTGAGCTTGGAGGCTGGCGTTGCTGAGCTTAGGGTGGTGGAGTAGGATGCCCCTTAGCTGTAACCCTTTCCTAGCGTGTATCCCAGGGATGCAGCTGGGCCTGGGGAGGCCATGTTCCAGTGGCAGGCCGGGGGCAGAGCGGCAGGGTCAGGGCTAGCTGTCCGGCCCAGCAGCCTGGCACCCTAGTGCACTTGCCCCTGGGGAAGGTCCTTGTTCAGACGTGTCCTCCAGCTCTTCAGTCTGCGCCTTTCAGCCATTCCCACACACCCAGGGTTAGAAAGAGCCTGCAGCCCAATTCCCCAGTGCTCCCACAGATGCGGGAATTCAACAGTGCCATACGGCCCCTTCATGGCAGCTATGCCAGCGCCAAGCAGCCCCAGAACAGCTGTCCAGCTGTCCCTGCCCTGGGAGATTCCCCACATGCATGGACTCGCTGCCAGGGACAGAGCTGATGCCACCAGTCCCACACAACCCCTGCAGGAGGTGTGCTGGGGACCGGGCTGGGACATGCCTAAACCCCAGCTCCTCTGCAGTGCTGCAGCCTGTAGGGACACGGCAGCAGGGGTGCATGATAAAGCAGCCTGTAAAGCTGACCTTGCCCCTGGGGGGGCAGTGTGCCTTGAACGGGTATTAAACTGACCCGGAGGGGAGGGGGGAGCGGGCAGCTGCTTTGTGATTTGTCCCCAGCCTCAGACAGACAGTCTCTACACAGGTGAGCTTTGATCTGCTGTCGGCGCCATTGCACAAACCTGCTACCAAGACCATATTTTAGCAGGCGGAAAGAAAACTAATCCCCAGCTTGTCTGATGTGTGGTGGGGATTCGGTATGTCGGAACCTGTGTAGTGTGCTAGAAATGCTGAGCATTACTCCTCGGCTTTGCCACATTATTACCTAATATCCAAGGTTTGCTCCCGATTCTGTTTGAAATATCTGAGCTGGTTTGGCCAGCTGACGCTGCTGATTTACACCAACCAGCCCCAGTCAGGGACCAGGACCCAGGGCACTAGGTGCAATGCAAGCAGATTCCCTCCCTGCGTTATTCGGACAAGGCCGGAGGGCCATTGTTTCTGTCTGCCTGCATGCAGTGACTCTCCTGTAAGCAAGAGGAATTCATGCTTCGCTGTCTGGTGGATTTGTGTCTGGCACAAGCCATTGTTAACGGAGACTTGACATACAGCCTGTGTGGCTGCAGGGCTGTGACCACTGACTTGGCTTGATTGTTGAATGACTGAATGGGGAAAAAATGATTGGGTTGAGACGACTGCATAAGGAGATTAAAGCCCTTTCACTGCCATGCAGTTACCAGTATTTTTTTTTAACCTGATGGATCAGTCTAGGGTTTATGTTAATAAACAACATCTGACCTGAGCAGTCTCCGATCTGTAAGTAATGAAGCTTCCTCACTGTTATTGAGTTATTGTTAGTTAAAGGGTTTTATTCCATCTCCCTGTAGCATATTGATGCATTTTATCATACCCACTTCTTGCTACTAAGAATAGATGGGGCTTGTTAACTCACAAAGGGGCTATGGGCCACCAGTTGTTGTGTAGCAGGGATATTATTTTCCTTTTATATATTGTGCCATATGTGAATCGCCCTTTTCAGCACCCGCTTAGTGAGCACTCTGCTGGGGATTTTGTGTTATTCAAGGTACAGAACATTTGGGACGCTGCTGTGCGTTATTCTATCCGGGTTCAGGGATTAGCCACGCAGCCTGCAAGAGATAACAACTGAGGTGCCCGCAAATATACTTTTAATACAGGGGAATGCGCAGCTCTCGGATTTCTAGGAGGCAGGACACGCTGCAGGGAAATGCTAGCTTACTCTGGGTTCAGGATGAGCTTTGCAATGATTTGGGGTGAGTTCCTGGCCCCAGCGATGCTGATGTCTGAACCCAGTTGGCTTCTGCAGGGGCACCCTTTGTGTTTCATTCCGCTGGGAATTTTAAAACTAGAAGGAAGCAATTGCAGTTGGGGAAGGGATAGCTCAGGAGTTTGAGCAAAAATCTGTCTGGGGATTGGTCCTGCTTTGAGCAGGGGGTTGGATTAGATGACCTCCTGAGGTCCCTTCCAACCCTGATATTCTATGATGAATGTGTCAGGGAGCTCGGTTGCTTTGGAAAGTCAGCTTGGATCACGTTCAATAGCTTATGTTGCTGAGACCTTTATGAATTAAACCCGCAGCATAATGTGAACCCCATGCTCTTGGGCTACATGGTGCCCCCAAGATCCCGACGTGGAGGAGACCCCGCCATCACCACCGATCGACCCCCGTGCATGGAAAGAGGGCTCAGGTAAAATCTGCGGCCGCATTCCCCTTTCCAGGATTCCTGACGCCCAGCCCTACGCTCGCTCCAAAGGTGTCACTGTCTGCTGGCTTTCCTTTGCCCTGGGGGGCCCGTCCCCTCTAGGGCACCATAAAGCAGCCGCCTAGAAATGCCGCTTATTGTATATCAAACATGATATCCCAGGGCACAACAGCGCTTCAAGGGAGCAATACCTCTGTGGCGCATGGGGTACTTGGGTATCCTTCCTTGAGACCCGGGGGAAGCAGCAGCGTCTGCTGCCAGGTTCTGGGAGGGAGTGATCATCGTATCATAGTGTCCCATCACGAAGGGTGGGGTCAGAGGTAGGAGGCCCTGCAGATCAGTGGAGGCATGGGGGGAAGCTGGCAGAAGGAAGGGGTCTGTGTGAGACCAAGCCCTGAGTTACCCAGCTAATGTCTCTGCTTCCCAGGCTTTGTGCCTTTCACGGGTGGGTTGCAGATGTTTGGTGAGTCTAGGAGCCCCTGGAGATGGGTTAGGGGTATAGAGATCAGTGTTCAGGGCTGGACTCTGTGTGAGACCCCAGCCAGCTACAGCAGGGCAATGCACCCCTCCAGGGTAAGAGGCAGCTGCTGGTTTAAAGTGCCCAGCAAGGCTACGCCACAGTGTAGGGTAGGACGTGAAGAATAACGCTGTACGCAGCTGGGGTGGGGGCAGAGCGGGTAAGGGGCAGAGGGTGGAGAGGCAGCCGTGCTCTGCACTGAGACTGCAGGGCTGAGGTGGGGAAAGGGAATTCTCTCTGCAGTGAGGGTGGGTGCAGAAGGGGCAGTTTGGAGGGGAAGGCAGCAGCGTCACCAGTCGACAGCCCTGCTCCTGCCACACACTCCATTTCCACCAGGCCAGGGCCAGCGTTTCACCAGCGCTCAGTGCAATCGATGCCAGTTGGGTGCTGAGTTCTTTGGAAAATCGGACCCCGGAGGTGGGCCTTCAGTGCCTGAAAACGTGCCTTGAGATGCTCCGGCCCTCGGCTTCCCAGCTCTGCAGAAAGAAAGCAGCAGCGTGGCCCCCAGCTCGCAGTTGGGGTGTTAGCTAGTTAAGGAACAGCGGCATCAGCTGAGCCAGCCGGGCCACTTCCTGCAGCACAGCGGGACCGGACCCCCCACTGCTCTGCAGCCAAGACTAAGGCCGTAAAACGGCACATTGCATGCTGAAATCTTTAGCAAATCTGCTCCCATGTGCTTGCCCTCCCGTTCCCCCCAGGGGTCAGCAATGTGTCCGTACAAAGACACAAGTGTCCGTGGTAAACATGTTGAGGTCCGTGGTAATGAACGACATAACCCTCCCGATGTCCGTCACTAAGTCCGGTAATTTTGTCAAGCGTCCATCGCGCAACATGATGGTGCCGACCCCTGGTTCCCCCCACCCATCTGACTGTCCCCTGTCCACTCCCCATCATCCTCATGGATCCCATTTCATCAGCTGCCCCACAGCACTTCCTCTGCCTCATGGCTTTGCTAACGCCTGCGCGCTGCACCCTGGCTGCCTGCTCGTGCCGCTCCTTGCACAGGGACCCAGCAGCAGCTTCCCCCAGAGGAGGGTGACGGGCCCTTCCGGGGGCCCACACACAGTCCAAGCCCTGCCTGGTCCCACGGGCAGGGGTGCTCAGTTCCAGTCGCTAAGGCGGAGCCCAGAAGCGCTGCATTCCCTATCACACAGTTCCTGCCCCCAAATTGCCCCCTTGCAGCACCAGATGCTCCTGGGGGCCCCCCAACTGCCATGCATGGTGGAAAGACTCTCGTCACACACACACACACACACACACACACACACACACCCCTCTACCTCAAATTGCCAGCTTGTGAGGCTGGTCCAGAATCCCGACAACCTAAACAGACCTGTGCTCTCTCCAGCCTGACCCTTAGGCTCAGCCCAGTGCTAACCCCTCCCTGACCAGTACGGACCCCCTCCTTCCCGGGTGCAGAAATGGGGGGACACGGCCACTGAGCTCCCTTGGGCTCCTGCCCACTGAGAGCCTGGCTCTGGCTCAGCCCCCACCCTCCCTCACCCACAGAGACCACACAGCAGCAGCAGCGCCTCACGCACGCTCCGTGGGAATCTTTTTATTGTCACAGCGAAAGGCACGTTGGGGGACTGTAGCACTGGGGCAGGGCTGCCACCACAGGACGTTGCTTCAGAGGGGGACAGAGCTGAAGACGTTGACAGATCTGGGGACAGGGCCAAAGCCAGCAGGCTTCACGGTCCGCTGCATTTCTGCTGCCTACGCTACCCAGTGGCAACTTCACTCCAAGCCGCAGCGTCCGTCTAGGGAGCAAAGAGATCAGGACAGCGCCTTGCTGGGAACGGAGCCTCCAGGCAAGGAGAGGCTGTGCAGCCCATCTGTCTAACCGCAGAGGGAAATCCTGGCACAGAGCTGCTTCCCGACGCCCCCCTAGGGTCCTCCCATGCTTTGGCCTAGGCAGCTCTCTTCCTACAGACATGTCCTGCCCCTTACCCCTCTCACTGTATGTCCAGGCTCCAGCTCCACTCATCTGTCTCCCCGCTGGCCCCGGCCCATTCCCCCTGCATGTGCACCAAGGGCCCAGGCCTGGGCTCCCATATACTGATGCTCCCAACCCAGAATCCGACCGGTGCTTTGGCTCTCCCCGTATATGCCCACCCCTACCCTCCATGTGTCATGCTATACTCGTTTCCCTGTTTGTGACCACTGACATCTCCCAAAGATTCTGTGCTCCCCGACATGCCAGAGCTCCCCTCACCCACATGCCCACTAATGACACAGGACTCTCCACACACCTCCACCCTCACCCCCTGTCTCATGCCCAGCAAGGCCCCGGGATTACAAGTGGCTTCTCTCGCAGGGCTTGTCTTGTCACCAGACTCACTCAGTGACAGCAAGGCCCGGGTCTCTGCTCCCCGTTCCCCCCCACTGCTCTGGCCAGAATACACGCGACCGCTCAAACAGCCCTCTCACCACCAGCAGGCAGCCCACATGGGGTGAGCTGGGATGGTACTGATCACGCAACCTAAAATGTAGCAACCGTGTCTAGGTCCTTGGGGACAGATGCCCCTGCCCCAACTGGCCTGATTATAGCCCCAGCTAGATGCCAACCTACCTTGTTCTTCATCAGATCCGCCACACAGCCCTCACTGGGGTACTGTGAAAAAGCACAAGAGCCTGTAACAATCCCATAGCGGAGTCAGGAAAACGCCCCTTGGGCCGTTCCCACTCGTGCTGCAGGATGACTCCAGCCCTCATTCCCACCAACGTCTTCTTTGCCCTGCCCCTCAATCTCTGCCATCATGGGGGGAGGCCACAAACCCCACCCTCAGGGAATCTAGTACCCAGACCCACTAGTCTGATGTAGGAATGTTTCCCTGTCCACTCAGCCTTGGCTGCAAGCCACCACCTGTTGCCCTACCACCATCGGTCCCTGGCCCTCTTCCCAGGCTGTGCGCTCTCCTGTTGGTTCTACTCTTACCCTGAAGGTATTGGCGGCTGCACTCATGGTCTCTCTGCTTTGCTGGACTGTACGCTCAGCTCCTAGTCACTAACCCAGGTGTCATCTCCTTGCCTGTCTTTGTGGTGCTCTAGTTTTTCCAGCCTGAACAGCCTGGTCCCACCTGAGGGCTTGGCTCCTCTAGGGTGCGTGTGACTCCCCCACCCTGCAGCGTGCATAGATCGGTCACTAGTACCAGCTTCTTCTACAGTGTCCGCACCGGCTCAGCTCACTGGGGTCCTGTCTCTGCGGGTGCATTTACGCCAACAGAATTACTACCCTTAGCCCAGCAAGGCTGCAGCTACAGTGATGCTGAGCCACTATAGTGGATGGGGACTGAGGGGGCATGAACCGTCCCTCAGCTGTGAGGCCTGCCAGGGCTGGTGTCTCCGCTGAGTCCTCTCAGGTGGGAGCCAGCCAGCTACTGGGCATATGCATCCCTACGCCAGCTGGCAACTGATGAGGACGGGCTCCGTTGTCGTCTCATAGACTGTGGGTGCTGGTGCTGGGCTGAGCCAGAGTGCTGGGGGATGGCACCCGTTTTGAGGTCACCCCAGAGCAGGCAGCAGGGCAAGCTCCAGGGGGGGCTGATGGGCTGTGCCGGCTCATTCCAGGAAAGGGATTAAGCCCCCCGCGGTGGTTCACTAGCGGAGCCATTCGCAGGCGATAGCAGGTCCCCAGGTGCCTTCTACCATCTTCAACTGGGCCAGACGCTGTGTCCCTCTTCCCCGCTGACCCCTGCACTGCTGGGTCCTAGGCCCCATACCTCCGTGCAGGAGGGTTATGTCATGCACGTCCCTTGGCGCTACCCTGCAGGGCTCGTCAAAAGCTGCAGGTTGTGCAGCACGGCTGCCCGATGTCGGCAGGGCAAGCCAGTGGGAACGCCTAACACCTGTGCCCAAGGCCCACCCAGGCTTCACTCTCGGGTGTGATTCAAGCTGTTAATAATAGAGCCCTCTAGGACGACCTGTCCTCACTGCATCTGATGAAGTGAGTATTCACCCACGAAAGCTCATGCTCCAATACGTCTGTTAGTCTATAAGGTGCCACAGGACTCTTTGCTGCTTTCACCTGTCCTCACTGCCACTCCATTGTGAACAGCTGCAATGCGCTTGCTCACCTCCTGGGGGCACTGGTAAGGTACCAGGCTCTCAGCCCTGAAACCGCTCCCCCTCGTGGCCCGGCAGAGGCCAAGTTTGGTGACTCCTTGGCCACAGAGCCAGGTGTGTCTGTCCAGGCTAGCGGCTTAGGGGGCTGCTTGGGGGGGGGGGGCAGGGGTGTGGCCAGCAGCTGGATTGCTAGTTTATATGGTGGGGAGGAGGGGTGCCTAGAGCAGCGATCTGGCTAACTGGCTAGTAGCTTCCTACTTTCAGCCTTCCCAACGGAGATGCCCGAGTGTGCCACTGCCTGGTCTCCAGACAGCGCTCCTGGTTCCCTGCACGCTGGAACAGCTCAGCAGATGGGCTCTGGCTGGCTGGTCACCACGCCTGCCTGAAGCCCTAGCGCAGCTGTTACAAAGCCCAGTATAGCAGGAGGCTCTTTGCCACCCCTGGAGCCTAATATCCCAGCCGCAGAGCTCAGCTTAAAGAGGTCACAGTGGGGAAATACGGCGAGGCTGCAGCACTCCCGAGGGAGGGCACATGATCGGGATCACCACGGGACCATTCCTCATTCCAGCCAGCGGCGTCTGGGGGAGCCAGGCACAAAACCGGCCCAGTTGCCGCGGCCGTGGGGCGCCCATCACGGTAGCATCTGGGCGCTGGGCCTTGTGCACAAAGGCAACGTGAGATGGAAAGGGATGTTCTACTGGAAACCCTGAGGCCTTCCAGCCTGAGCACTCCCCTCTTACCCGCCCTGGGCAGCGAGCTGGGAATGGCAATGAGATCATGGCCCGGAGAGCCACAACCAACTGGCAGCTGCTCAGTAAGGGACCTAGGCCCCACTTTGGTGGACAGGTTTCACATCACAACAGTTCTGGCCACGTGGTCATGGGGGGTGCTGAGCGCTTTGGAAAACCAGGGCACAGCTGAGTATGCTGAGCCCTTGGGAATGGGCTCTCGCTGGCTCTCCTATTAACCGTCTCCACCCAGCAGTCTCCACCCGATGGGCTCTGGAAGATGCATGCCCCACCCAACCCATCTAGGTGCTTATATGGCCCCCCTCAGTCCCAAAGTACTAATGAAGGGCTGGCCCGGGGCCCCTTCCCTATGGGCATGGGGTGCTCATCCACCGCCTGTGCTGCACCGAGGGTAGCATCTGTCTCTAGGGCTGTAGAAGGTGCTGGGAATGTCCTAACTAGAGCCTGCTGCCTATCTTCCTAAATCTGGGGCAGATACAGCCCTTCCCCCATGACACATTCATGCCACCCACTGAGGAGTGGGTATTACAGGTCTCCCACTGTGCCAAACTGGTAGAGGGGCAGGGAGGTTTGACTGTAGCTCAGACTAGAGCCATTCATGCTTTTAGCTCTGGAGGGTGCCAGTTCAATCCCTGCTGTCCCCCAAGATGGCAGCTGTCAGACGTCCCCTACATACAGTGAGGCAGGAGGAGATTCCAATGAAGTGCAGTGGGCTTCACTAAAACATGCAGGGTTGAGATTTAAAGAAGTCTAACGCCCCAGATCTCAGTGGGACCAGGGCCGGCTCCAGGGTTTTGGCCGCCCCAAGCAGCCAAAAAAAAAAAAAAAAGCCGTGATCGTAATCGCGATCTGCGGCGGCAATTCGGCGGGAGGTCCTTCGCTCCGAGCAGGAGTGAGGGACCGTCCGCCGAATTGCCGCCAAATAGCTGGATGTGCCGCCCCCCTCCAGAGTGGCCGCCCCAAGCACCTGCTTGCCAGGCTGGTGCCTGGAGCCGGCCCTGAGTGGGACCCAGGCACCTGGACAGCTCAGGCTGTGATTTTCAAAGACAAGCAACCCCAGTGCTGGGACAAGGAACAGAGCCACAAGGGCCGCCAGCCCGCCAGCCTTACCTTTCACATCAAGCCTACAGTCCACTGAGGCTTCCCCGAGGGGATTGACCGCTTTGCAGGTGTACACGCCGCCGTCGAAGGGGCTGGGTTTCCGGATTTCCAGCGAGCAAACCCCCTCATTGATCACTGCGATGTACTTGGGGTCTTCCCGAATCTCCGTCTGGTTTTTCAGCCAGATAATTTTGGGCTGAAAGTCAGAGGGTTTCGTTAGCTGTAGAAATGAGCTCGGGGCAGCTGGAGGCACCCCACTAGCCCAAAGCTTCTTCCTGTAGCCAGTGCTCTGCCTCTGGTCGTCTTCATGGCTTTTCTGCACTGGTCCTGACAGTGAGACCTTTGAAGAGCCCCTATGCCGTGGTGAATTAGAAGCCACCCAGCTGGTGTGATCTGTCAGTTTCTAGATAGGACGCTCAGGGCATGCAGCAGGGCCTTTGGGGGAACAGCCATCCAGGGCCCCATGCCCATCGCTGATGGGGCAATGGGGTAGCTCCCCGTGTGTGCATGTAATGGGGCTTTGGCGCAGCAGATGATTGGGTTAACCACACAGGTGGCACCATTCCCTTTGCGGTGGTAAAACACCCTGATGCCATGGAGAGGGACACCCTAGATACTAACACACTTGCCCTCTGCAGCCCCACTGGCAAGCAGGCAAGTATTACTAGCCTCATTTAAGAGATGGAAAAATCAAGGCTGAGGTGACGTGACTTGCCTGAGGCTGTATGGTAAATAAACAGCACCAGCAGGATTAGAACCCAGGTCCCCTAGCTGGTAGCCTTACGGTCCAGTTGCTGCTTCTTTAAGGCAGTAGGAAAGTCTATGCAAGGAGGGTGGTGCATGTGCCTGGAGAGCCCAGGCAGAGTTTCTGCACCCCCCACAGGCTTGGCACACTCCCCTGACCTGCCAAAATGGGGCGCTGCATTCCCAATGCTCTCAGATAACTCCTCCAGCCCATTCAGACACCGACCCCACTCATGGAGCAGCCTCCGAGCCCACTCCTTCCTGGCCGCCTGGTGCCACCCAGCACCCTGCACAGTAACGCTGCAGGATCTGGCGGCCATTCAGGCACCCACCCAGTGAAGAGACGTGTGAGGGAGGGCAGAGGAAAGACGGGGTGAGGAAAGGGTGGAGTCTCACCTTGGGGAAGGCCCGGACGCAGCAGAAGAGCTGGGTGTTGTAGCCTCTGGTGGTAGACCTGTCCGCCAAGGGCTGGGTGAATTTGGGAGGTTCGGAGAAGTCCCAGCCCGAGTACTTCTCGGGCTTGTAAGCAATTTCTAGGAAACAAACAGCAGGTCACAACAGCGGCTGCCTGTGCCCTGGCGCTCGGGCCAGGCAGCGGTGGGGCTCGGGCGTCCTTAGCAGAGAAGCACTGAATACTCCAGAACACCCTCCTCCCAGGACCAGAAGCAAACCCTGAGCCTCAGCCAAGAATTGGTCACTGGAATGTGTCCCCGCCCCGTGCTCTGTACCAGCCCAGGAGAACCCCTTCCCCCACCCCCACCCCCACCGCAACAGCCACCAGTGTTGTCTCAGGCGACCAACATCACATGCTGGGAGAGAGCTCTGAGGCCATGCCACCCCATGCTACCTGGCAGGAGATCACAGGAGAGAAAGCTACGGATGGGGGAGAAATTACAAGGGAGACCATCCCTCCTGGGGAAAAAAGCTATTTTAGACAGGTTTAAGAGAATATTTATTGGGACAATTTTTCATATCCTTCCGCCTTTGAAGCTAGAGGCTGAATCCAATGTTACAGACCCCAAATCGGGCCCCAGAGCCTCCCCAAAGTGCTCTAAGCTAGCTATGTGCCTTTCACACTGTACCGTCCGCTACCACAGGCTCTTGGGGGTCAGGAACAAGGGCTGCGCTAAGACTCCCCCTGTTCTAACGGGAGAGCGCTCCCGTTTCGAGCCTGGCAGGGCACGAGCCGTTGGACCCGAATGCTGCAACCTTTCGATGTCTAGAAAACCCTGGGCCTCCTCCTGTCACTCACATCAGCCTTGCAGAGCTGCCGCCAGCAGCAGCTTTCCCAGCCAACCTGTTTGGCCCCCCCATTGGCCATTGGCCACCTCTTAGGGAGAGCGCCTCCTCCCCGCCCGGCCGCTGCTCCCTGTTGGGCATCCCCAGCACCAACCTGGTTTCCGGATGTGGGCCAGCTCCGTGGTGAAGGCCGCTGTGGCACTGTGCCCGCAGGCGTTCTCCGAGAACACCCGGAAGGAGTAGCTGTTGCCGATGATGAGGTCGGAGACGGTGCAGCTGGGCCGGGGGCAGCGCTCCAGCACGGTGAACCATTGCTGAAAGCCAAGGGGAGCCAGGCTGTTAGTGCGGGGCATGGTGAACACCACCCAGCCCCCGGCGCTCTTCCCATTGCAAGCCCCAGTGCTGGGAGAGTGGGGTCAACCCCCCGCCACGGTTACAGCACAGGTTGGCAGGCAGCCTCTCAGCCCAGCCCAGACCCTGGGGGGAGCCCTGGGCCCTGGCGCTCCAGCTATAGGACCGGGCTCTACCCAGGTTCCGAGTCGGTCTTTCCGCACCTGCATCCGCGCAGCGTCCCCACTGCAGCCCCTCTGCCTTGAGGAGCCGAACCCAGCTTGGCCGAGGCCTTCACCCTCCCATGAGGCGCCAGGCAGGAGCTGAGGTTCCTTAGATGGATGCGCTGCCCCATCTGTTCTCTTCTCCTCATCTCTGCATTAACAGCTCTCTCCCTGCTCGACGCCACTCCCAGCCATCGTCCTGCTCCACCTTCACCCTCTCCTCAAACCCACTCGCATCGTCCCCCACTCAGTGTGAGCCCCCTCCCCTGCCCTCCATCCCTCCCTCCCTCAGCGAATTCTCCTCACCCCAGGGCCTGATGGTGGCCTGGCCCTTCTGCTCTCCTCAGACCTCTGCTGGCCCCTTGATATCAGCCCCTCCAGACCTTCCTGACACCCTCCATCAGCCTGTCGCTCTCCACGGGCTCTTTTTTTCCGGATTTTAACATCACTCCATCTCCCCTCTCATAATCCCTCCCTTGAGCCTCCCCACCCGTCCCTCACAGCCAAGATCTTCAGACACACAGCCTTGGCAGTCCGGCTTTAACATCTCACACCAGCCATCCAATGGCCACCTGGCCCCTTCTCCAGCCTCATCTCCCTGGACCTTCCCATCGTCTCTGATCCTGTTGATTGCACCACCCGTCTCAGCTGTCTCTCCCCAGGCATGTCTGGTTCTCCCCCCGCCTCTCTGGCCACTCCCTCAGTGTCGCCTATTGTGTCTCCCCCCAACCGCCGTCCATGAGTGTCCCTTAGGGGCTTCTCCTTGGGGCTCCTCCTCTTCCCCCTTCGTCCTGGGTGACCTTATGTGCTCTGATGGCTTCAGCTGCCATCTCCCAGACGTTTCTCAAAGCTCCCTCAGCCCATCCATTCAGGGTCATGTCTGCCCCGGCTCTAGTGCCCCAGCTGGAGGGCAGCATGGCAAAGACAGAGCTCATGGACTTAAAAGCCAAAAGGGTCCATCATTTCATCTGACCTCCTGCACACCGCAGGCCACAAACCCTCACCCGCCCACCCCTGCAATAGTCCTATCACTTCTGGCTGAGTTACTGGAGTCCTCAAATCATAACTTAAAGAGAATCCACCACTGACACTAGTTTAAACCTGCAAATGACCCATGCCGCACGCTGCAGAGGAAGGCGAAAACCCCCCAGGGTCTCGGCTGATCTGACCTGGGGGGGAAATTCCTTCCCAACCCCAAACATGGTGATTAGACCCTGAGCATGTGGGCAAGACCCACCAGCCAGACACCTGGGAAGGAATTCTCTGTAGTAACTCAGAGCCTTTCCCATCTGGTGGCCCATCTCCAGCCCTTGGAGATATTGGCTGCTAGCAGTCACAGATCAGCGCCATGCGACTCTAAGCAGACTCCTCACACCATCCCCACCAGAAACTTATCAGCCTTCCCCCCCATCCCCCGCTTGGGAGGCTGCTCCAGAACTTCACTCCTCTGATGGTTAGAAACCTTCGCCTAATTTCAAGCCTAAACTTGTTGATGGCCAGTTTATCTCACCCAGTAGAGAATCCAGGGCTTGTCCCATTACTCAGGCCTTGGGACCACCCTTACAGCCAAAAATAAGCCATGTAGCCACAGCAATGGGAGCAACAGGGAGGGACTAGCTGCAGTGTAGACACCTGCTACGAACTGAAAGAGATTCCTCATCTGGGCAACTCTGAAGTGGGTGGACCCTGATACCTTCCCCCTCGACTGTTATTTTAGCCTATTAATTACACGTAGGGCAGGTGAAAAACAAAAACTAACACAGGCCACAACTCTGATTTCCGCCAGGAGGCGACATGTGGGTGACTTCTCTGTGCAAACCTCTGGTACACAGCTGGGCAGATTTGCCTCCCCTTGGGATAACCTCGAGAACGACTTGGGGACGTTTTGCCAGGGCCGCCCAGAGGATTCAGGGGGCCTGGGGTCTTCGGCGGCAGGGGGCCCCCGCTGCCGAAGACCTGGCACTTTGGTGGCGGGTCCCGGGGCGTAAGGACCCCCCGCCGCGGGTCTTCAGGGCACTTTGGCGGCGGGTCCCGGAGTGGAAGGACCCCCACCGCCAAACTGCCGCCAAAGACCCGGAGCGGAAGAAGCCCCGGGGGCCTGGGCCCCGTGAGAGTTTTCCGGGGCCCCCTGAGCGGGTGAAGGACCCTGCTCCAGGGGCCCCGAAAAACTCTCGTGGGGGCCACTGCGGGACCCGGGGAAAATTGCCCCACTTGCCCCCCCCCCCGGGGCGGCCCTGCATTTTGCTGGGTGAGCTGCAGAAAAAAAATGCACTGACAGAAGATGCCATTCTTGATAGCTTAGGTAGTTACTGAGATACCAGCCTGTAGCGGGATGGTCACCCGCTCCAGCCGTAAAGGGCTTAAAATAGCCCAGGAGAGGGCTGTGGCTGGGAGCAAGCAGCTCCCAGGCTGATTGGGGAAGCAGGCTCAGCTGTGGCCATGCCCCAATCAGGGCTCAGCTGTCCCTTATAAGAGGGCCGTGGGCCAGGCGCAGAGTCAGTCTTTCTCTGCCTCTAGAGAGGGAAGGGCCTGGCTGCTTAGGAGCTCACAGGGTACCTAGAGTGGAGCAGGGCTGGGAAACCTCCCAGGCTGCAGGCCTTGGTAAAGACCCAGAAGGGTACTGGGGTTGCAGAGGGCAGGGGTAGGCCAAGGCAGCAGGTCCAAACCCCCCTTTCCTGTGATGAGTGGCTCGTACACTGCAGTCTGCCCCAGTGAACGGGGGCTAGATGATGACTGGCAGTAGCCTGATACTGAGGCGAGGTGGAGATAGTGGGTGGGGGTTCCCAGATACTGCAGGGGTACTACCAGGGGGCAACCTCCAAGAGAAAGGGGGTCCGGGAGGGACACGGGGGGCCAATGAAAGGCGAGACACCAGCCAGCAGAGGGCGTTGCGGAGGCTGGTAAGCTAATTCCCTGGGAGGCCAGCAGGAGGTGCCCTGGAGGTGAGCATTGCCCCATTACACGGCCTAATGACTTGCTCCTTGATGTTGTGGTGGTGGAGAATCTTCCCTCTGCTGCAAAAAGTACGAGCCCCTGAACATCCCAAGCAAGACAGACGAGGCATGGCAGCCGGCCCTCAGCCGACGTGAGCCTTTAATGCACAGGGTAAGCAGTTTGGTCATGGAGAGGCTGCAGTTGTTGACACAACAGAGAACAGTTGCCCTTGTGCCTGGCTCAGCAGGTCTTGCCTGCATGACATTCTCCCTTTCGCCTGCGCCCAAGTATCATTCAGCAGTGACTGGGCTTTCAACAGGTGCCTGTGGGGGATGGGCAAGGGGGCTCTCACTACTTTAAAGGCTGAAAAGCAAGAGGTGCTGAAACTGGCATGCCTCCTCCGCACCTCCCACCCCACCTGCCTTCCTCTTCTGTATCCCCAAACGCCTCCTCGGACCAGTCCCTCTGTGACCTCCTCCAGCTGCAACAGTGTTTAAAGGTCTGGGGGAAAAGTGGCGGGAGCTGCCATCACCCCTACATCTGCCCATTCCCCTGCAATTAATTCCACCCCGCAACACCCAAATCAATCCTGTCCCCCCATCAACTCTACCTCTGCATCTGTTCTGCCACATCTCTCCTCCTGCAGCTCCTGGGGTTCTTCACCCCCTTCTCCCAAGGCTGGGGAGGGGCTGCAGTGGGGGCCCCTCTCCCCGCTCCAGGTAGGATGTTGCATGCAGGAAGGGCAGAGAAGGAGAGCCCGTTGTTTACAAAGGGAAGAGGGGATGGGAGAAGTGGAGCTGCGCTGAGCTGCTGGGGGCTCTCTGCTCTCCTCACCCCCCTTGACAAGGTGTCACGTCATTGGGAGGGAGAACAGAACCCTGTCTACCACCTGCACAGATCTGATTGACTGCTGTTCCCCAGGAGGTGGATAAATGGGGAAAGCAGCCAATTGGGGGCAGTCCCCAAGTGGTACTAACTATGTGCCCGACTGAGACAGTTTATGGCCTGGGTCTGCACCCCGTTGCACCGTGAGGCTTGAGCACTGGGTAGCGAGGGGCCTGGCCATGACTCTCTGCTCACATCGGAAGCGCACCCACCTCTTGCTCAGCCCTAGGCCCAGGGCCGGGCTACTCACTGCTATAGGCACGGCACCTCTGTGTCCGGTTCAGAGTGCTTCCCCGGGAAAACTCTGCTTGTCGGACCATCTCCATGGCAGGTGGTTCTGACCACATCACTCCCCCGAGCCCCACTCCCCACCACCAGCTCCCCCTTCTCCATCTCATCACACACAAGCTTCTGCTCCTTTCCTTTCAGGTCCTACACTGCTTAGAGCCTCCCTGCTTATCCACACCACACGGCCCTGACTTCCCCCCCTCTGCTGCCCCTACAGCGCCAACCTCCACTCCCAAACCCACCAGTGCATCTTCTTCGGCGCACCCCCTGGGGTGGGCAACGTCCCCCTGGAGCGACCTCTGCCCTCACCTCTTTCAAGCCCCTCTCCGAGGCTCACCCCACTGGGCCACCTATGGGCGACTCCCAGCTGAGTCTGTCGGGTCTGTAGGGACCTGGGACCTGATTTCTCGCTCGCTTTGTTATTTTTTTAGAAATAGCTGATTTCAAACCACCTCACTGTAAACAAATCTGGCCTGGGTAAAGGCCTGAGCCACCCCCCGCCCCATTCTTTCCAGCTGTCTGTTACAGCCACTTGCTTTGTCTTGCCTTCGCCCACAAGCCCTGTCCGTGCAGCACCCGGCCCAACGGGACCCAGATCCCGCCTGGGGCTGTTGTGCAAATAACCGAACACATGCAGAGCTGGGAACCAAACCATTTTGGGGGCACCCAAGAACGTCCCGTGCAAACCTCTCCTGCACCACGACGTGAGGACTTCCCTACACCGTGCAAATGGACGTCAGGAGAGGGCTCCATCTCCATGGCTCTGCCTGCTGGGGGAGGTTATGAGGCTATCGACACCAACCCCCCACACCCTGCTGCCATAAGCACTGTATCACAGTCCACAGCGTCTGACTCAGCTCAAGCTGCACACTCATCCCAGGTCCTGCTGCTCAGAGAGGTACTCGGGGCAGACGCCGCAGACTCACCCCACTCTTCCTGTCCGATTTCTGGACCATGTACCCTTTGAGTGCTGCGTTCCCATTGTCCTTCGGCGGGCTCCACTCCAGCGCCACATTAAACCCCCACACGTCAACCAGCTTCAGGTTCTCTGGAGGGCCCGGTTGCTCTGCAATGACAACCAGAGGCTCATTCCAGCCACTGAGGCCATCCCCTGGCAGGTACAGGGCAGGCACGGCAGCTCACAACGGTGGACAGAGAGCTCACGCAGCCACCTGCCTGCAGAGACGGCAGCTGCTTTGCTGAGTCCATGGGTTGTGTGTGGCACTGTGGATCAGTATAGGGTGGGAGTAACTAGGGGAACCCTTGGTGGTCTCTCACCCAGAATCTGCCCCATCTCTTATGAATCAGTAGAATCATAGAAGATCAGGGTTGGAAGAGACCTCAGGAGATCATCTAGTCCAACCCCCTGCTCAAAGCAGGACCAACACCAACTAAATCATCCCAGCCAGGGCTTTGTCAAGCCGGGCCTTAAAACCTCTAAGAATGGAGATTCCACCACCTACCTAGGTAACCCATTCCAGTGCTTCACCACCCTCCTAGCAAAATAGTGTTTCCTAATAGCGTCCATCACCATGGTGTCAGAGCAGGGAGAGCTGTGCATGTGCATCTGGCTGATTTCATGGGTTATTCATGTTTGCATGAGCCTACAGCAGCATCCAGGAGTCTGGAAAGAATATGCACCCTGTCCCCCAGCCCCCCCATCAGTTCTGCTCCCGAGCCCATAATGACCCTCCCACTGTCCCTACTCTCCATCCATTTTGTACCCTCTAATTCATCCCTTTAGGGCATCTTAGCCTTATGCCCAGTAGCAAGCTCCCAAACCCTGCAGTGCTCCTCATGCGGACCTTTCCTCCTGACCACACCTAATGCAGCGGGCCGAGCACCCTGCTCTGGGAGGTGCTGCAGGAGCTTCCAACGTCTCACACATAAGGACAACACACACACCGCTCTGCCCTGGGATCTCCCCCCATTGCTGAGTGCTGGCCAGCAGGGAGTTTGGCTGGCAACTCCATCCCCAGCCACACCAGGGCTTGGCTATCCCAGCTGGAGCTGCCATGGGGCAGAAGTGAATTCTAGGGGCCCCATGCTGCAGGGAATCTTGCTTGATGGCCGCAGGCCCATGAGAGCCGGCAGAGGCTGCAAAGCTCCATCCAGGCAATGACCCGCGCCCAGTGCTTGCACCGTTCTCACCGATCACGCGGATGTCAATGGTAGCTTTGTCCTCCAGCCTGTCTATCTTGACGCTCAGCTGGTACTGGCCAGAGTCACTGCGCTCTGCCTTGCGAATGAAGAAAATGGTGTCCCTGTCACCACTGCGCACAGTCACCCTCTTGGGATCCAGAGGCTGGCCGTCTTTGCTCCAGCTCACCTGGGGCCTCGGCTTTCCCTAGGACAAAGGCGGAGGAGAAAGCTCAGGAGAGCAGTTCAGGTCCATTCCACCAGCCGAGCACCGCCCAGCCAGCTCTATGCCAGTGGTCCTTGTGCGGTCTTTACTGGCGATACAGAGACGCGCCTTTTGAGAGCACCTTTGAGATGTTAGATTTTTAGAGGGCGGGTGGCTTTGCCTAGTGGGTGAATCTGTGGCTTGGCTGTGATTCCATTTCCAATGCCCGTCTTCTTATTTCCCCTGCAGCTGTGGTATCTGGGAGCAGTCGCTGCTAGTCAACAGCCTCAAGAGGACAATGCCAGCTGGGCCCACGCATGCTAAGACTACGGCTAGCGCATCAGCTGTGACATCAAAATACAGCATCCATCAGAAAGCGTATAGCCTGTGGCCTGATCCTCCAGTGGGGGCCACAGAGGATCATCTCCATCCCCACCCCCCACTTCCCTGGCTCTGGCCACTCGCTCTTACAGTCTAGTCTAATTGGCTGCAGCAGTGTCAAATTCTCATTTTCTCTTGCCTTTGCTAGAGAGACCAGAATGTGCAGACAGCGGGGTTTGCCGCTCTGGAGCACTCAGTGTTTGCAGTGAGTGTCACCTACTGAAGGGCACTGACAGTTAATTACGTGATTTAATTGGCATGATACCCAGATCACAGCACCAGGCACCTGGCTGGAGAATGCACAGCACTTTGCAGGCACCTACTTGCCAGCAAGAGCCAGAGAGGGAGGATCGCAGGGTATGCGGAATAGACCTTTGCAGCTGCTTGGTTAGGTAAACAGACAGGGCGGACCCTAGGCCCTCGTTGGGGCCCCTAGGCTGGTCACATGGCATTGGGGCCTGGGGCCAACAGCTACCGTTGGGGCCAAAGAGAGTTGGAGGATGCCCTCTCCTAACCAGTCACTGGTGCACGTGGCATCCAATCCCCCAAGTCACACTCCTGGGAGCAGGCAGGAACCCCCTCCCACACCCTGCAGGGTGATCAAGGGGATCCCACCAACCCCTCTCTCTGCCGTGGGGTAGGGATGGGGGGGCATGGAGGATAGCCCTGGGGATGCATCATCCTCCCTACTCCTGCCAGGTGTGGAGACCCCAATAGCATAGCTGTAGCCCCTCCCACCCAGTCAATGGGCAGTAAATATGTTCCCAGTGCCTCCCATGTGGTTGGGGGTAAAATCCCACTGGGGGCTGCCCCCAAGACCTGGTGCCAAGGAGCTGGGGGAGGGGTGAATGGCTTTGACTGAGGGGAGAAAGGGCATTTCCCCATGCCTTGTAATTGGCAGAGCTCCTTTCTCCCTCCAGCCTGTCCTATATCTCCACCCAGCTTTCTGTCCTCTCCTGGGTAGCATGGGCCCAGCTGACCGCCCAAGCCCATCACCTGGGCTCTCACCCAGGCCCCCTCGTCAACCCTCCAGAGCCAGGCAGCATCCCATTCTCATCTCGTCTTCCTCCAGCATGAGTCCTTTCCGATCTGTCTCGGGGGCCTAAACTCCCCTCCAGGTCTCCTACCTGGGTCACTGCAGCCATGACCCCCAGCTGCTGACACCTCTCTATGGTGCTTTCCTGGCTCTCCTCACCTTATGCCTCTGAGCATCTGCTGACTTTTACCATACTTACTCTCACACAGGCCTGGGAGGCAGGGCACTGCTGGTCCCCATTGGCCAGCTGGGGAACTGAGGCACAGAGAGACTAAGGGACATGTCCAAGGTCGCACAGGGACTCTGTGGCAGAGCCAGGCATTGAACCAGGGGCGCTTGAGTTGCAGGCTAACCACTCTTTTCCCTTTGCTCTCCTCATGCCCCTCGGAGCCCTCCACTAGCACCCCCTGTTTCACCACACCAAGTTCAAGCTTCCTGTCTCCTCCCCACTTGTCTGCTACTGTCTGTTCTGGGGGGTCTCCCTTGAGCCCCCTGCTGCAAGGGAGGAGGCCCCCCCAGCATCTCCGCACATGTGAGGGGGTTTGTTGTATAGACAGAGGCCAAGCCCAAGAGCCATTCACTGGAAACATCGACCGCCTACCTGGAAAGGGATTAGCAGGTTTACCGCCTCCCCAGCGGGCCGGATGTACGTCTGCCGCAGGTGGCGCGGCACTCGGATCTTCGGATGCTCTAGACAAAGCAGACGTCACACACCCGTCATTTTCATGAGCGCTTCGGGAAATCACCACCCCGCACTCTCAGTGGGAGTTCCTACGGCAGGCTCTCGGGCCTTCCAGAGCACTTCTTGTCCCAGGTATCCCCAACCACTCCCTGCCTGGGCAGCACAGGATTGGCTGACTTGGCACTGAAATGCAGCCACCTCTTGGCTGGAGCATGGCTGCCACCTCACACCAGTAACACAACACAAAGGGATTACGGAGCAAGCGGGGAATTACTTCTCCAGCAGAAGCTTGGGCAGGCTGCTGTTGGGCCAGAACATCCCGTCTCTAATGAACAGGGGCTGCGGAGCTGTTACTGCCCACAGGTGGTCGTGGTGTTGGTTTTTTATTGCATCTTAATGGCTGTGCCTCCTGCAGCATAGTACTAAGTAACTCTAAAAACTGATTCAGTTGGGGATTGGTCCTGCTTTGAGCAGGGGGTTGGATTAGATGACCTCCTGAGGTCCCTTCCAACTCTGATATTCTATGATTCTATTGCTGGGACAGGAACTCGCTCCGCAGAGTGCGCCCCCTACTGAGTCACCCTTGCTGCTCCCTGCAGCACAGCACCCCCTAGTACCACACTGGGTCATTGGGGTCAGTGCTAACTCACTGGAGAGAGTGCCCCCTACAGAGTCATCCAACACCCTTCCCTGTAGCACAGCGCCTCCTAGTGGGGAAATTGGTTCTGTACTGACTCAGGGGAGAGAGCACGTCTAAAAGTCATGCAGCACCATTTTCTGCCGCAGCTGGGGTTCCCTGCTTGACTGTGAGCTGAGAGAAGATGGGCTGGATGATGAGGGGTACCAACTGGGACCTCTGGCGCTAACACCATGTGCTGGAAACTTACTTCTGTGTTCCCTGGGGAACATAACAGAGAGAAGCAGAAAATGTTTGCAAGTGTATACGGACTTTCTGTCTCCTTTACCAGAGTCAAAATAGCAGCAGGGTAACTCTACCACGGCTGCATTTGTTGGCAGTTCCTTTGGAGGCAAAAGGTTTATGCTAGTACATAATAAAAGAAGCGTATGCCTCTCCCAGGATTAACCATGCAGGAGCTTACCTCTAGGAGGGATATTGTATGCGGGGGCCATGTCTAGAGTTAAATCTGAGTTGAATGATGCCTAAACAGCTGTGAGAGTAAAACACAGGCAGTGTAGGGCGGGTAGTGAAGGAATGCCTGACATTCCCAGATGGCCTGTGCCCAACAGCTGAGCTAGCATCTCCTCCTCGCACGCTTCTATTTGGTCCTGGAATCTTTTCCTGATGCCCACGCTTGCACTTATCAATCTTGGTGGAACAAAGAAATCTCACCCCTCCCACCCCCGAAAGAATGTTAATTCATGTGTATCCGTCTCAGCGCCTATACACACACACATCTTCAGATGTAACTCACCCTTGTACAGACCTCATGATAATTGTTTCCCCAGGTGTGAAACCCTTCTTCCTGCCCTAGTTACATGTGAAATGTGCATTGTGTTGACTGTCCAACAGATACATCACAATTCCCCCTTCCTGCTTTTAACCGTCTGTCTAGGGGTCTGCGGCTATTTAAAATCTCTTCGGAGCACTCCACATGATTTGTTGAAACAAGTAAACTGCATCAATAAATAAGTGAAAATGGAAGATAACAGATGGAGCAGTGTGAAGTACACACAGTAGAGTTTAGCAAAACAAACATGCACCATTAATAAGCCATACACAGTATTTTGTTCCTAGCACAGCGAGGAAAGCACTGACAGGTGCACATTTAGAATGAAATGCAAAAATTAGGTTAATGCCACTTTCTGGTTGAGATTTTAGCTTAACAGAAACCAGGAAGCTCAAAACTGTAACTTGGCCCCATGGCATAAGCATGAAGGCATCAAACTGGCCAACATACCATAGAGTCAGAAAAATAAAATACCATGCAAGGTGGCCAAGTTACAGTTTGCTCAGGAGCAGCATTCAGCAAATAATGGATTTTTCGGCTTGGCGGCTGAACCAAAAAATCCTGAAATAAATGTTTTAATCAAATAACTTGGAAAAATTTCATTTGGAATCAAAATGTTGGTCGACTCAAAACAAAATTCTATTTTTTTAGTTTTTCATTCTAATTTTGGCCTTTTGGGGGGGTGTGTGTGTGTGTGTGTGTGTGTGTGTGTGTGTGTGTGTGTGTGTGTGTGTGTGTGTGTGTG